GCCTGCTTTGCAACTGTACACGTATGTATTGTGTGCTATGCTCCATATCTGTGTATGGTTATGCCAACATGAGGACGGTGGTTATCCTGTTCTAGGCCTGTGTGACCACTCAGCCTGGAAAGTTTGAAATAATTGCTGAATGAACCTCAACAGGGATTAAATTTATGAGGTTTACTGAGGGCAGATGCCCCCTTTCAAAATATTGCTAGCTGCCACATCCGTGTTCAGACCTTCAGCAGGTTCCAGGCAGCAATGCAAACGTGTTAGTCCTAAACCAAATGTATCCAACTGTGGAAAACTTTGGCATCTAGCAATCTCTGGTCACGTGCTAAATTCAAGCCAAAGCAGCCAGCCTGGGTCTTTCCTTTTTAACTCCTCCCCTGTGATTTGACAGATCTTTTGGGAAAAGTGCAGAAGAGTTGATGGAGAAGCTGGCAGCTCTGCAGCTTCCCTCAGCCACTCTGAGGCCTGTACAGCCCACCACAGGCTGCTGTAAACGTCTACACATTGTAAGACCTTCCCAGGGTTGAGAAAAGGAGTAATAACCTTGAACAAGGAATTACAAACAAGCCGTGAGCGGATCTCATTGACTTGGGACCCTCATTCTCTGGAAGAGTTTTACAGTGTCCTAGAGGACTCCCTTTTATTGTGCTGTTAGCAACTGGGAAGCCTTTCTCCTGGCTGGGTGCTTGTTTACCTTGGAAGGCCAAGGCCATTTTGTTCTGTGGTAAGTCTGTAAATTAGGCATATAGTCTTCAGCATGTATTTGCCAAAGTAAATCAAAGGACTGGGCATTTTCATATGCTTTTTGGCATGCCATAGTTCTTTCTCTAATCTGTGTGACTGCAGCCGGTGGCTTCCTACTGCTACTCAGCACTGACTGCCAAAGGGCAAGGAACTACAAAGCAGATACATGGTAAATATTTTTTTTTTTAAAAAAAAACCCTCATATTAGAGATAATTGAAATGCAGAACAGTATCATGAAAGTCAGTTCTGAACATGGAAAAATGGAGGAATGCTTTCTGGAACAGCATAGGTATCTTTTGTGTTCTTAGATAAAACTGCTGAACTAACAAAATAGGTTTAAACAGGAACTGCTTCTAGACTGAAGCGTGAATGTCAATTTTCAAATGAGCGTATATTTTTAGACGCAGTTCATGAATTGCTAAAACTGAGATTTTCAAGTGGAAACACAGAGCAAGAGTGTGCTGTCAGTAGTTGTGATTAAAACAGAATAGGTACTGGCACAAGCAGAGCAATTGCATCTACTTAGGTATCTTTCAAAACCAGTATTATGGCAACTAAAATAATGTATGTGCGTATGTATTTCATTCCATGCTGCAAAAATTCATTTATTATTAGTGTTAATATTGCTTATAAAATCTCCACCCTAAACCAGGACTCTACAGTCATCTGCTGATATATATTGTAAGTGGGACATGGACAGAAAGGAGACTGCAGAGAGAGAATAAAATGATAATGGTCTGTGTGCCTGGTTTCTGCCCATCGATAGCCTAAGTGTGATAAGTGTTCTCTAGGTGTCATAGAAAGGGAGATCTTTAAGGAGGGATTTGAAGGGGCATCATGAAGTAAAAGAGAAATGCCTTTTGAAGTGAAATGGAGAGCAGAGAGCCAACACCAGAAGCAGGTGAAGTGTAACGGTGTTTGCTCAATCACACAGTGAGTGGAAAATACTGGATGATGTTACAGGGTGTGGAGATGAGTTGGCAGCATAATAATAAGCAGCATCTTAATGAAAATTAAATGGGGAAGCACAAGCCACAGATGAAGGCAAATAGCTTATGCTTGCTGTGATAGAGAAAGATTATCCAGCAAGTAGTCCCACAACTTCTGGTAATAATCTGAATCTGTGTAAATATTTGACATGATGAAAATGAGGTGAGGTTCGTACAAATACAAGAGGCAGGCAAACCCCACCTCAGGGACTTCTGACAAAACAGGCGGTTAATAAGGATTTGGTAACTGAGTCATGTGCAGTTGTTCATTTAAAAATCTTGGCTGGGCAGAGGTATGTGGATGAGTGATAATTCTTAAGATGAATATCAGTTTTGCATTACAAGTTGGGGTTATAATTTTCCATTTATTTTAACTTGCATGGAATTAATTCTAGAGTCAATCTTCTTGGGCCTGTTTTATTTTAATACACTTAAACTATGCAAAAAGACTATGGGCTAGATAGTTATTCAGAGGCAAAAATGCTAATGGGTAGAGGAAGAGAATCTATGTGGTTATTGAATCTCCACCATCATTTTTCTTTCTTGAGACCTGATACAAAGGCCTGGGGAATGAAAAAAACCCTTCCACTATCTTGCTTGGGCTTTGGGTTTGTCTCCCATACCTTATCAGTTGTTCCAGCAAGCAGACCAAATAAATCAATGGGGATAAATAATAAATCAATGGGTATCAAATAATCTATAGAGTTGTGGAAGATGCCACCAAAGATGGGCTCTGTAGTACGTTTAATTCAAAAAGTCATCCAAAATGAAAAGTGTGGATACACTGGGATAATAAATAATCCAATATGCTACTGTTGATTTGATGATGCCTCTGAAAGTACTGGTCTGATATAAACTGCTTCCAGGTGTTACCAGTGTCCTATTGTGCACTGCTTGCATTGCATACTTCATTGTGAGTGCTCCAGCTTGACAACCTGCTAGAGAGTCTTGAGGCAGGAATGAACAGAAGCTGAGCTTTCTCTCCAAAAAATTCAGCTCACATCATGGTTAACCCAGTTCTTGTTTTTCCAACTACCCTCTAGACTTTCCCCAAAATTTACACTGTTCCCAAGTAACATCTGAAAAAGACAACAATAACGTGTTTTCTAATTTCTATCTTTTTTTTTTTTTGTCAGGGCAATTAAAATATTTTGTTAATTTGCCTGTCACAGGGGAAGAATACATTCTGTATCTTACTCCTTCTGTCTTTGTCACAGTACTGCTCCTCTGAGGCCCCAGTGAATCTCTATGACTGCACGAGGATGCACCTTGCCTGAGCCTGGGAGTGCAATGAGTGACAGTGAAAGCGGATAGGTTGCCAGACAGTCTTAGGACATGTCTTTACTAAGATAAAGGTCAAATTTTAGGTCAGGCTTAAAAAAAAATAAAAGCTAAATTATCCCTCAATATCTATTCATGTTTATCTATGGGTTCCCTTTGAGGACACTTCTGCCTGTAACCTCTTGAGAACAATGCTAGACCTTCAGAAATTCTTAAGGCCCTATCACAGTCAGAGTGGCAGACAGGAGATGTGATTCTGTGCAAATACTACTGCAGAAATCGATACTGAGAAAGTGCAAAGGGGTGTGTGATTAGGGCGAAGCGTTTCGGCCTTCCCTCTCCTTGTTGAACTACTCACTGGGTTGTTAGCATGTGGAAATGATTCCAGCAGCAAGCTGGAAACCTACAGACAGCTTTAAAACTATTAGAAATATGCAGAGACTTTGAGAGCCAAGAGGGACAGTTATGAGTATTTACTTCAATCTCCTGCATAGTATCACCCACAAAAAAGAGCCCCTGCTACTTTAGCTGCAGCTGTATTTCCCCTCCATCACCCGAGTGACTGAGTCCTGACTAACGCAGCGCAGGTCATTGAGAATACATGAACAGGAGACGTGGGACAGAGCTATGTGGGGTGCAAAACAGAAGATGGAAGATTGCATTAAAAATGTGTCCTGGATGTCGTTTGGTCCTAGTTTCTCCTGCCAGCTTCAGAGACCCAAAGATAATGTATGTTTAAGGCACTCTGGACGGCAAGAAGGCATACTTGGCAACCCCAGTGCTGTATTCACCATTAGTTTTGGCAATAAGTATAACGTTGTTTTCCTAATAGTAATTATGGCTCTGAGAGGTATAAAATGCCTGTGTTCGTTTCAGTGGAATATTAAGTTTGAAGGCTAAATTGAAACCTTAAAAATTCCAACATTAGTAGCTATTACACTGCTAATAATTTTAGCAGAAATATCCAGCTTTTTCAGAGTTGTGAGTGGAATTTTAAAACGGCATCCCCAGGTTTTCTTCTGATCTGACTGCATACCTACAGTTTACTAAGAATAAACAAAAAAGATTTGTCTTTTGATGGAATACTATTCTGGAATGTGGTTAAGTAAATGGTTCTTTTAAGGCGTGTTTTTTCCCTCAGGTTTGTACTCAGTTTATAAGTCATGCAGCTATAGCTGAAAAATTAGTCTTGTACTCTCCTGGACACTTTTGTGATGGCAGTAAATGGTCTATGGTCACCTTCAGTTAATACTGTCAATAAAGACAATATTCCCATATCCCAAAGATCCCATTTTCTTCTTTTTTTTTGAGCTCTTGAAAATGCAGTTTGTGTTACTGCACCTTCTCCTACATTGTCCCTACTTCTAGAGAAAGACTGCTTCAGTATTTTGTTTGGTAGTGCCACAGTCATCAATTTTATGCTGAGTATCACTTTTTCTCTGGTAACATACTGCTGTTAATTCCTCTGATTTCCCAGACTTTTTAAGATGTGCATTTCACTGCCACTGACCCTCTGCTGGTTTGAATAGCAAGATTAGGCACCGTGTCCTGCACCAGTTTTTTTCTTTCCCTGGAATCTCTTTCCCCTCTGTTGGGTCAATCATGCTGATGGTAGCTAAAATCTTATTTTATCTAACATGTCAACATCACTCTATTAACTTTCCTCTGTGGTATGCTGTTTCCATCATAGGAATTTAGAGGCCTGGGGAGGGAATGAATATTCAGCTTAAGCCAGGCAAAGTCAGGTTTTTATTCCAAAGCTTCTCAGAGCCTCTGGTCATGCACTTCTTTTCTTCTCACATCAAAATGTCATTTATCCATATCATAGTATGCTGTAATACCATCTACAGTTCACTATTTTTCCAGTAAAGCTGTTGGTGTGCTGAGCACAATGGGAATGCCAGTTGGAGGAGATGGTTTCCTTCAAAGTAGTATGCTCACAAAAATGGTGGTTTGTTTTTTTTTTTTTTCTAACTTGACAGTACCTGTCTGCAACCTGCCAACACATGGTGTGAATAAAAATATTTGCCATCTGACACATCTCCAGAAGTACCTCTCCTTGTGGAAATTTTCCTTGAGGAAAATGTTCACTTTATATATATGTATATAATCTCCATGATGCTACACATCAGGTAAGAATTTCAGGTTTTGCTCTTTTAGCAATGATGAGTGAACAATCAACTCTGCTTTTCTGCTAAACACATGAATGTCAGAACAATGAGCCTGTCCAGCTTCATTTTCAACTGCTGTTCTAGGGGGAGACAAAAATGATAAAAGGGAGGAGTTGGGTGGTGGCTAGGCTATTGACTCACTTCCATTCTGCACAGTTAGAAGAGCCTCTCTCCTATGGGTCACATGCTGGGTCATATCCACATTTATTTATGCTTGCTGCCTCACTGAAGAAAGCATCCTCTTGTTTTGGCCACAAGCTTGACATAGTTTTAACTCAGAAACAGTACTTCATCTGTTTGTACTACTACAACGTGGGGTTTTTTTTCAGGTCTATTACTTACGCATATATCTAGATCAGAAACTCATATTGTGAAAATCAGGTCACAACTACACACCTCGAGTTTCACATCCCTCCTTTTTGTCATCTGTAAGTTCTTTTGTTGATGACATTGCACTCATTGCTAATATCCTTGTTTCTGGCACCATAGTCCCTCGTACACCTATACCCAATTTAAAACGAATAACTACCTTGCCAGCCTGTACTGCAATAGTCCATTGGTCTATGCAGAATCCTCCTGAGCTAGCGACACTGCTGTCATCCTCTTTGTCCTCACTGTGCGCAGTCTTAAAAAATTATGTGATTTATTACAGTTCTTGAGTCTTTTCCAAGTCCTCAAAGCCTGGGTTTCTAACAGAGGTCTGTTTCATTCAGTGTTTTAGTCTAACTGGTCAGCATTGTGTCACAGGAACCTCTGAACAGCACAATAACCAACCCCAACTGGTCCACAAAACAAAAGGGCTTCTGTGGCAACAAGCTGCCACAGAAGAGACACTGCCATGGAGACCATTCTTGATCCTGTAAGAAAGATCCATTGTATTTCACATCCCTTTGTTCTGAAAGCAGTAGGAATTATCTCACATCCATTCATCATGAGCCAATGAGTTATCCCAAGTTAAGTGTTTGGGGACTGGAAAAGTGTTAAATCTCATAAAAAAATAGTCTTCCTGGGACAAGAAAATTAGAAAGAAAGTGAAACATATGATATCAGCTGAGTTGGAAGAGTATCTAAATGCAGAGAATTAAAGTTTGAAGGAAAGGGAGCTACCTGCACTATCCAAGTAATCACTAGGTTTGGAATAAAGCACGTGTGTACATATAAACATGAGCACAGGAAAGATTGAACAGAATAAAGGAAGAGATTAAAGCTGGCTACTTGTGGGGTATGGCTAGGGACTATGCACTGAACTTTTAGTTTGGTTATAGGCATCCGCATCCTTTTTGACATCTATGAACCTTGTTTTGGTTCTCCTGAGTTGTACCTGCCTGTTTTCCCTTAAATTATATGTGAAAGAATAGTTTGTGGGTAGGCATATCTGCCTGCTGAGGCACAGTGTGCTACATGGAATACAATTCGGGGAGTGCAGACAAGGCACATTGTTGCTACCATCACGCATTTCTCACATGTGTGCTAGACCCACATGAAAGCAGCGTGTGTTCCTCCAGCATCATACGGCCAGGTGATATTCCAGGGGTGGCTGCCCAGCCAGTAGGTCCACGGTCAGTGTGTGTTGCCCACAGGGAAAGTTGAAGAGCCTATCTCAAATTTATACCTGAAAAAAATCTAGGCGAATCTCATTTGGAAACATTTTGTAGCTAATTTTGTGGATTATTTACCCTAAAATAAGAATACTACATTCTTACTCAAATTCACTCAAATCCAGGGTACAAATCTAATGGTAAAAACTTCATTTTAAAAATTTTCTTTGTAGATATACAGGAAGAATTTTGACAGAAGTCAGTACGTTCCTAATGTTAATGGAGATTGGCTTTTATTTTATTCTCCGACACTTTTTTTTTTTTTTAATTAAATTTTAGGTATTAGTCTTTCAAAGCTCAGTTCCAAATTAACATCTCTCAGTTGGTATATGATGTCAAACTTATTTTTGGAACGTGTAGAAATACCAAAAGGGCTCACTAATCTTCTAATGAGATAAAATTACTTCTGAAGGATAAAATTAGCATGCTGGAGCTTTTCCAGCGATTCTGCTTTTACAGCCCTACCATGTATATTATACAGTGTGTTTCTAAAGAATCAGTACTCTGAAATATATATCCCTCATATCCTTTGCAAACTATATTTTGAGGAAATTTTTAATATGATAATTATTTGTTCAAAAAAAGAAACCCTCTAAATGTTTATGAAGAATTATCCAAAATGTATAATCTTATTATTGCAAGAAATAAAATACTAGTAATGAAACAGGTTTTAAGAAAAAAATGGGTTTATATAATTTAAAAACACTAGTTATGCTCATAAATGTATTCTAATTTGTCTAAAACAATTTTTTACAATGTTCATTTATCTTGAGAGCTTTCAATGAGTGTCATCTGAGAAGAGAGAGGAGTGTGAAAGCAGAAGTCAACTCTACTATTATTAGCTAGTCTTTCAGGTAAAAAACAGAAAGCATAAAATAAATGACCCAGCCCAGATTCCAAACAGAAAAGTGAGCAGAGTGATGCAGCAGAAGCACACTGATCCTATCACCATGAGTTCGGTAAACAAAAACAAACTTCTGCTCCCCTAATTTTCTGAAAGACAAGAAACAAAATATAGGACTAAGGGATAAGTTCTTCTAGGGGTGATAGGTTACCAGTAACGACCTACTGTGCCCTGCATGGCTCAGTGTATTCATAAATGATCTGGAAAAGGGATGAGTAATCAGGTCACAAAGTCTGATGAGGCTATCAAGTTATTTAGGTTAATAAAGATGAGACAAACTTCAAAATCTGCAGATCTGGAATGGAGTGACTGAGCAATAAAATGGCAGATGGAGTTCAATATAAATAAATGCAAAGTGATGCACAAGGGGGAAAATGGTCCTTACCTCAGGTATGAAAAGGCAGGTTCTGATCTGATCATTACGTCTCAGGAGAGAGTCCTGGAGTTATGAAAATGGCTCCATGGGAACACCAGCCTGGTGCTCAACAGCTGCCAAACAATAAAAAATACGAGCAAGTGTTAAGAAATCGGTAGGGAACAAAAAAAAAAAAATTTTTTTTTGCTTGCATCTCCTGTATAGGTAAAGAATCATAGAAATACTGGTTGAGAGGGACCTCTGCAGGTCACCCAGTCCAACCTTCCACTTGAAGCAAGACTATTGCCAGCACTAGATCAGGTCAGCTGTGGCTTTCTTTAGCTGAATGTTGGAAACCACCAAGGATGGCGATTCCACAACCTGTCTGGGCAATTGGTTCCAGTGTTACATGTTCCTTTAGGTGAAGAAATTTTTCCTGATATCCAGGCTGAACCTCCCAAGCTGCAGTTGTTGTTGCTCATCACTGCTGCCCAGAGCAAGTAGCTGTTGCTCCTTGCTTTCTACTTGCCACTGCCAAGAAGCGTATGGCCACATGATCCTTTGGATGCTGTTCTGGTCCTTGCATGTCAGCAGTAGGATGGAAAATAGGAACGTCTTTCATGTAAAGCACAGCTAACTCAGCCAGAATCTTTCAGGATGGGAGAGGGGCTACAGCGTGTGATAAGGAACTAGGGGTCATCAAATGAAGCTAGCTGTAGCTGGGTTGAATATGCACCAAAGGGGGCAGGTTTTTGCACAACGCACGGCTGACCTGTGGAACTTGTCACCACAGCAGGTTGTAGATGCTACAGATCTATGTAGGCTGAAGGGAAGCTGGGCAAGCGCCTGATGGAGATATCTGGTAAAGGTTACTAAGGTCATAGAAACTACATCTGCCTCAGAAAATCTCTGAATTTGAAATATTGGTGGCAGGGAAAGTGCTGGAGGGGGCCATTGTATGTCCTTGCCCTTTACTACTGAAACATGATATTGGTCCAGCAAAGCCCTTAGTCTGACCCAGTATCTTTAGTAAAACATAGCTACCTTACATTAATTTCTGTCTTGCCTTGTTAATTAAACTGGGAATTCTTCAGCTTGTTTTCTCAGGCATGTGAATAATTATTATTAGACTTTAAGTTGTACCCATAAACAACAACAACAAAACCAGGACTGCAAACAAAATCTACAGTTTGAAGAAATCAGCCTCAGTCTTCAAAATGAAACTGGAGGGTACAGTCACACTGGCCAAAGCTTTATTTCCAACCTATCTATATAATTGGTTCCACTAAATTTCAGAAGTTTAGTCTTTTAAAGGAAGGAAATGCCAATGATTACAACAACCAAACAGCACTCTGGAGATCTCAGTCTGATCTCTAGCAATGCCACAAGTTTCCTGCCTGTTTTTGGCAAATCAGCGGGCCCTCATCTAGCGTGAGCTTAGTTTTCAGCAGATGAGCTCACTGAAACTACCCAGGTTAAGCACTTGAAAAAGTGCTTCGTGAAGGAGCTTTTTTTTTTTTTTTTTTTCCCCTTTGCCCCCTTGCGCATCTACACATCAGCGGAAAGCTTTGGGGAGGACGGCGTTGCAGTGCAAGGGGCTGATCGCAGAGACCACCACCCAAAGCTGTCTGCCATGGGGAGACGGAAGGGACACCAAGGGAAGGGGAAGGCAGAAGGAGAGGGGTGAAGAGTGCTGAGAAAAGGAGAGAGGTGCTTCTCACCCGGCCTCCGAGGCCCTGAGGAGCGGGGCGGGGGAGGAGAAGGGAGCCCCTGAGGAGCGGGGCCGGGAGGGAAGGCGGGAGGCCGGGGCGCCCCTGAGGGGCGAGGACAGGGCCCCCCCCCCGGTCGGCGGAACGCCCCTCCCCGCAGCCTCAAGCCCCATCCCGGCCCGAGGAGCCTCCTGCGCAGCCGGCAGCCGCCCCTCGCCACCCCCCGGGAGCCCTCCGGCGGGTCAGGGCGGAGCGGCGCTGCCCGGGCCCCGCCGCGCCCGGCAGCCCCGGCCCCACGCAGGTGGCGCGGTGCGGGCGGTGCGGCGTCCCCTCACCATTCCCCCCGGGACGGGGTCCCTCCGCCTTCCCGCTTGTCTCCGCCTTCCCCCCCCCCC